CACTGGAAAATACAACTCACAGGTATTCTAGATTGCGCAGATCATCGAAGACATCTTTTGACACGGTTTGTTCATTGACTGAATTGTTCCTTAATGTCCTAGAGATAAATAATGTGAAGAAATTATCTTAAAAGAGTATTCATTTATGCGTTCTTCTAAAAAAAAATCTTACGTCATCATGGATTTTCGTGGGATGTCAGGTCATTAGTGGGGAGTAAGCATTACGCGCATTCTAGAGACATTCTAGCTATATATTTTTCCTTGAAAATGACTTACAGTTTTCGTAGTTTCCCAAGGCCTTCAAAAGATGACTTGTCGATATGTTCAATTTTGTTTTCATGAAGAAACCTAAGGTATAAATTAAGGAAGAATCAACTTAAAGTAACGAAGAAGGTTGACTTTTTCAAGATTACAAAAGCGGATTCAGGGGTGGTGAAGGGGTTGGGTAGCCACCACTTTCCCTATTGCTCCCATTTCTCAGTATTATCCTCGATAGGTGACCTCCCTTTTTCCTTTCATTCCTGGTAAAACCTTAGTAATAGTCACCCCACTTGTAAGATTGCTGGATCAGCCACTCGATTAYAATTCTTTAGTTCAGCAACTAATCACATGATAAAAGAAGAGTCGTTACTTACAAAACATTAAGATATTTTTGCTGATGGAAAAGACCATAAGGGATCTTCTTGATGACGTTATCTTGAAGGTAGCTGATGAAAGTAATGAATTAGAAAGCATGCAGTAACTTCCTTCTGCAATTTCACTCTACCTTCCCTCCATCTCTCCATCCCTCCGTCCCTCCATCCCTCCGTTCCTCCATCCCTCCATCCCTCCATCCCTCCATCCCTCCATCCCTCCGTCTCTCTCTCTCTCTCACGTCTTCGATCACTCGAGACCCAAGAGGTCGTAATCACTTAATCACTTATACTTACAGATATCTTAAGTTTGTGTTGTTTTGGAAGGTGAGTTTATTCAGTCCCTTTATTTCGTTACTGCGAAGGCTCCTTAAACATATCAAGCGACATAATTAACATTGTACATGATGCCCACTGCTTTAACTATTGATAAKCAGTTGCGATTCTGCCGTTTACAGTCAAAACTTGTGAACTAGCTGAATACTTACAAAGCACGGAGAGCTGGAAAGCCAGAAAAGGTATCCATTTCAATGCTTGAAATCAAATTTTGTCCAAAATCTCTGAAATGTTGTTAACAAAGCATCACCGTCAGGAGTGTTCTTTTTGTGCCATTATACATTCTTTTAATACTTTTTTTCATACTTACATTACTTCAAGTCCCCCTACATCACTGAACATGTTTTTCTGCACTTCTTTGATGAAATTTCTATTAAGTCGTCTACAAGTAAAATAGGAGCTCAGAGAGAGGATTATTTTAAAAGAAAATTATTACCATACCAAAAATCAAGACGTTTTGAAATAAATGATCTGACTTAGATAAAAACGGTAACGGAGGTAAACCAAGAAGGGACTGGCAACAAAGGTGTCTAGACTAAGGGACACAAGGCGGCTCAGTTCTTTTCTTATCTCCCTTACCTCAACCGGCAAGCTCCACAGGTGGAAATTAGAGTTCATTAGTTCTTTACACTTTAGAAAATAATAGACATTTAGTATTGACTTACAAGGTCTTTAACGATGGTAGGTTTACAAAAGACATTTCTTCAATCGAAAATATTCGATTATAGCTCAAGTCGCTGAAACAGAAAAAAATTAAAACAGATATGAATGATTAGGTGAACAGAGATGAATAAATAGTGCACAGAGTGGCGGATCTAGGATGATTTCAAAGCGGTTGGCTGTTAACCAAGAATCAGGTATTTAAAGCGGACACCCTCGGGACCGTCAATGGCTGTCCGTAAAAGCAAGGAAGTTAATTAGGGTCTTTTCTTTGTCATTACGTTTCGCCAGGAATTTTTTCCACCTCCCGTAATAGCGAGGTGCCCGTAATATCGGGGTGTCCACAAGACGAAATTACTGCATATACCAGTTCCTCTCTAGATTTTATAGCATTCTTTATTTTCATTTGGAAATGACCAAAGTTGGTGATTGTTCCCAACCACCTAATCCACCCATTAGCCCTTGTGTAATCATATACTTACATCAAAGAGAGATAACTTTGTTTTACGAAAGCATTGCTTTCCACTTGGTAAATCTTATTACCTCGAAATAATCTATAAATGAAGAAAAGAAAGCAATACTCATAATCGTGAAGAACAATGATGTATGCGCTTTTGTATGGGATAGGTAGAATAACAAGAGTTAAAAATGATCCATGTACGATAATGAAACGAATTCGGTGCGACTTTCCTAGGTAGACACCCTTCACTGCACCTCGATCTATTTTTTACAATTTTCTTGACATTTCAAAGGTTTCCTCATTTGATTTTTTAAAATTCTTTTGACATGAGAGTACAAGAGGTCTATGTAAAGACTTGATACTTACATAGCATTTGTTTTCTTGGGCAGACGCTTGGAAATAGACTGTAGTTGATGTGAAGCCATGATGATTCCGCCATCTGCTAGTCTCCGGCAGTTACATGAAGAGGGGCAGTCTGAGGGGGGAAACATCGCACAGAATTGCCCATCAACTCTGGTCATTATCCAAATGAGAGAGATTATGTGAAGAATGGGTAGGCATTTTTTAAAGAATCATTATACTATCTTCATACTATTAAGAGGATTTGAAAAAAGTTGGAAAAAACGACTAAAAATATTTTTTAAAGCAAAATTCGCGGGCATTTTCTCCAAATTAGGTACCAGTCTCCACTCGGACAGCTTCTCGAACAGTACCAAAATATATGCCGAGTTCGTGAGCAAATTTGTCCGTTTTAAAGCGATATATAGAGACGAAATTATGGATATTGAGCAATATAGAGGCATGGTTTCTATGGCTAAACAAATGGCGGTAGAAGGATAATTTCTTATATCAAAAAAAGTATTGGAATTTCGTCATTTTGGACTGTTTTGCTTCGTTGGGTCAAAGTTAAAACTCCTGAAAAATCGCTACTTGCTTTCAGCTTCAAAGAAAGCTGGATTTTGGAAGCAATTAAGCAATGGTTGGGCAACCAATTTCAGTTGTTACTTTGAATGATTTTTTTTCACGACGAAAAGCAGGACCCGAACAAAGTGCAGGAATGATAAATTTCCATACATATACATCACCAAAATAAATGGCAAGCTTATATTGTGTGGTTGTCATTCTTTAATATTCCCATGTCACTTTTCTTGCATTACCTTTCGATTTTCTTCACGAAGCGCTTAAACTTTCAAATTGTGACTTTGCCTTATAAATATAAACGGCCTTGAGAGGAAAATTGATATTGGGAAACTGGAGTCTAGTAATATATTCTCTAATTTCCCGGATGTGTCAATCAATTCTGTGCGATGATATGGGTCAAAACTTCATTCTTCTATCCCATCCTTTTACAAACAAGAAAATATGACCTATAACCACAACGCCAAAGTCAACGTGCTGCAGCATACCTTGAATACAGCTGTCATCTTTTGCACCTGGAGAAAGAAAAAACGATATTAAAATATTTGTCCTAGTGTAAAGTTATTTCTTTCAACATCCTCTCTCTTGATCTCTACGTATCTCCTTCTACCTTCTATGATCTGATAGTAAATCTTGAATCCTGGTGCAAAAAACTTTTCGTTTGAAAGAAAAACTATTCTGATCGTGTTTGATTGTGATAGGATCATTTGTGGATATCTGCAAGTAAGTAGAACACAATAATCATGCATAACAATCATTATTTCGTGACAGTTTTAGTTCTTGATCATAAAGTCATAAAGACCAATGGATGATTGGATATGGATACAATATAAATAAATA